TTAGATAGAAAACTTATAATCCACGGGATCAGCAAGCGCCTTAGTCCGATATCGACAAGCTTACTAATAAGCACATTATGCCCGATACGATCGAAGGCCTTTGTGTAGTCTAAAAATAATAGACGGATATGCTTATCAGGAGAGTCAAGGTGGAATAGCCAATTATGTATCATATTAAGAAGGCAGTATGCCGTTGATGATCTTTTCAAACAACCAAATTGCTGTATGTCAAGATTATTTACGACGTCTTTTATCATCCATTGGACAACAAAGTCCTGCAGGACTTTGGAAGTACAAGGGGTGAGAGAGTTTGGTCGAGTATCTCCTTCACAGGTCGGTTGTGACACTTTTGAGATTGGGGAAATGCACGAATCTTTCCAGGCGGCAGGAAATGTTCCAGAGGTTAGGGATGTGTTAAAGATAGTTGCAACGGGTTCTGCGCGCAAACTCGTGAGCAAATTCCTTTAATATGCGAGGTGTAATATTATCAGGGCCACATGCTTTGAATGGTTGAAGAGTACAAAGTTTCTTATAAACTTGGTAAGGTTCGATTTTAGGTGGTGTGTCAGGAGCGGGTAGGAATTCCGGTAGTACTGAGCAATCAAGTGGAGGGATATCTGCATTAACAGATGTATAGAAACTGTTAAGATTGTTTACCAATTCGGAATCAGATAAGATTTTCCCGTCACGCTCCAGACTGAAGCTCGTGTTCTTTCTTGATCTTCCGGACATTTTATTTACAGCATTCCACCACATTCGATAATCATCTTTACGAAGATCCTGAAACTTATCCTTATAAAACATTTCTTTCCTCTGATTTATTTCTGATTGCGAGGATAACATCTCACTAAGTGCTTGATGGGCATGGTTTGGGAGTCAGAGTATTTATGGCATCCTTTGTAAGAGGAAGCCAGTGAACTATGTTATGAAGTGCTAAGCGGAGCCTGTATATACGGCTTCTCGTACAAGTTATGCAAATTGGTTGCAATAAGGTCAAGGATAGCAGACCCTCTGGTAGGTAAATGGACAACTTGCTTTAAACTATGGTTGGATGCTAGATTATGTAAATCAAAGTTGTTAAAATCTCCAAGAATAACAATTCGACATTCTGGATATTTATTACGCAAGCAGTCAGTAGTGTCTATCAAATATTCGTCAAGATCACGAAGCTCTTGAGCTGAATGATCTGGGGGGTTGTAGATAAGACGAACAGCAATCCCCGACAAGGGTCTGGATACGCATTCGGGACGAAGCCAAAGTCACAAACACTCGAAGCTTGAGTTTTCCAAGTCTAGCCTTCGTTGGCAGGGAATATTTTCCGACAAGTAAATACAAACACCGCCTCCGCGTGCGTGAGACCGATCATTACGATAAATTTTATAACCACCAAGTGCTATGAGGTTATCAGAGATATCCTCGTATAACCATGATTCAGTGATAGCAATGATGTCTGCAGGGTTGCTAAATAAAAGCGCTTGCAGTTCGTCAACTTTCGAAAAAAGCGAACGTGTATTAATAATATAGTAGCTTGGAAGCCAGGAAAAATTACAATTATTGTTAGTACGAATGTCACTTTTTCTCGTAACTGGAACGAGTTGACGGTTGTATGATCTCCGGTGGTATACTGTACGCCGAGAAGATATACGTAAGGTGATTCTAACCTGAATTGGCATTTTTATCACTTCATCATGCGTTGAACCAGCTTCAAGTGGTTGAGCCAATCCTGTTTGTGACAACGATTGCGCGTTAGCCGGCTCCGTTTTTTCCAATTGAGCCCCGAAAAATGATCATCGATTTCATCTGGTACAACGTAGTGTTTTTGATGCGTGTAGGAAGTGCTTTCAAAATTTTTCTTTTGATCATTTACAAGTTTATTGTTTAAGAACTTAACGGATTGCAGTTTATGTTTTCCTTCAATGAGGGGCAACTTTCCCAGCCAGTCTACCGGAAAGGAATTCTTCTTTGTATTTTTTAGCATAGGATATGATGAGGCAGTTGGCACCCTTGGCGTTGATTTGGCATCAGTTGTAATTCTCATGATATTCAAAGAGTTTAGAAGAGAAACGTAAGCTTAAAATTAGCTAAACTAACTTTATTTCTGCTGGACAGTTCTTTCAGTTCTGAACTGTTCTTTCCACAGATCTACTGAGAACCATTCCTTATTAGTATGCACTACCATTACAAATCTAGGATTCTGATTGGCTACTCAACCATGCATGGGCCATTACGTCCATGGTTGCGAAAAGAGATGGCGGGAAATTTTGTTTTTGAAAGTGTTTGATGGAATTTCTTCAAAAATTCTTTCCGTGAAATGCAAGAAAAAACTACAAAATATGACTGAAGATGTGTTTAATGGTAGGGAGCAAAATTTAAACCGTATTTTAATAATAAATCTGATGCTACTTGCCTCAATATGAGAAACGAAGATAGGCGGAATTATAGAGCGCACTTTTTATACACATGCATACATTACAAGCAAAATCGTTGAAACATCAGCTGCTTGTAGTTACTTAATTATGTGTTTCCCTCGTCTTTTTTAAACACTTAAAAGTGTTTCTTTGTCTAGCTAGAATGTGATTTTAGGTTGATAACAGTGATATTTTAAGGTTTTTTCGCCCTTTAAAATTTTTATTACTTCATCTGAAAGAGCATGAAAAAATAAGCCGGTTAGCCGTTTAATGCTCTATTCTATCTCATCTAGTTCCGAAGTTATACGCAAAAATGTGCAAAATATAAATTGCTGATTGAGCACAACGTGTGACGTCATTAGTTGTTTAATGAATAGTAAACTAAAGCATAGCTAAGTTATTATTGGCTCAAATCAAATAAAATTTTGCATACAGATAGTACATGATGAGACGCATGAGAAAATACTTCCAATTTTGCTGTCAAGGCAACACAGTCGTTCCCAGGCCCCTTACACTGATTTTGAATAACTAGTCGCATTTATCTATGTGTATGTCATTTTCAAGTTATTATCATGCAAGTAAACTTTTGGCATACATAGGTATGGTACACATACTTCTGATATTATTTTAACCATTAATAAAGCTGTTTTATAAAATTGGCGCAAGGGGCCTGGGAACGACATAGTTACCTTGGGAACAAAATTAGAAGAGTTTTTCAATGCGCCTCATCATGTACAATCAGTATGCAAAATTTCATTTGATTTGGGCCCATAATAACTGAGCTATGCTTCAGTTTACTATTCAATAAATATACTTAAAAAACTCATTAATAATTCATGAAGAAAACACAAAGAAAAATCATAAGCGTGTCGTACCTGTATATGTGATACAGATTCATGTTGATTTGCATAAACTTTAACTTTGATTTTCTCGGCTTAAACAACGTTTATTTTTAAAATTACTTCGCCAATGAACTCATAAGATGAGCCGATTTTAAGTTGTTTACAACATTCGCGTCCGTGTTGTATCAGATATACAAACTCTCGCCTTCGGCCGCTCATGTTGTAAACATTACTTACCCAACTAATGACGCCACACGTTGTGCTGAATCAGCAATTTATATTTTGCACATTTTTGCGTATAACTTCAGAAGTAGATGAGATAGAATAGAGCATTAAACGGCCAATCGGCTTATTTTTTCATGCTCTTTCAGATGAAGCAATAACAATTTTGGTTGCCAATGTCCTTTAATTAAATAATCTTTTTGAGTGTTTCGACTTTTCCCGCCTAAAAACAACTTTATATACTGCAGCTTCCTATAGTTCTTCGATAAAATCTAAATGTCAAACATTTTCTATGCATTTTCAGGTGATAGTATTATTGTTCACAATTATTTTGTTATTTTACACTTCTTTTTGAACATAAATGACTGCATGACTTTAGGAAACGATATTTTTACAGTTTGAAAATACCTTAAACTCTGGACTTTAAAAGACTCTTATAATTATAAAAACTTCGTTTGTATTTTTCCTTAATAATGTTATGCCAAAAAATGGCCTGTTCTAAAATATGTTCAAGGCTCACGTCGAGCTCATAAAAAACAACTTTCGCCGAGTTGCTTGGAAAAAGTTAACAAATATCCGCAGGCAAAGCATTGTGAAGATTATAAGAAATCACTCAAATGTTCGTGCGTGGTTTTAATTTTACTTAAATCTTTCAAATTGTGCTTGGAATTGGTATTTTGTAGTTGGAGTGTATACTAAAACAATTAGACAACTCGATCGGTCTCGTTGTTTATGGCAAATAGTCAACTCAGACTACGCTTTCGTTGATTATATTCACTTATAGACAACTTGGTCTTGTTGTCTAAATGTTAATTGTTCCAGTGTTACTATACAAAGAGGAACCCTACACGAAACTAACTTTATTTCTGCTGGATAGTCTCGATAGCTCTATTACTTCTTCAAACAGGTCTAGCAAAGAACGCAAACCTTATCCAGTACAATACAGGGACGTCGATGGGGGGGGGG